CAACTGGCTATTTAGTTATTGCAAGAAACTGCAAGAAAAAAAATGCAAATAAATAAAGAGTTTTATGAAAGCATGTATCAGTCATGCACGATGTCGGATGCATCCTAACAGTGTTATTGTCGTGGAGGGGATTATAGACTAATTGTACTGCCTTTTTATCAAAATGACACTGAAAAGATGGGAACGCCATTCATCTTGGCTTTTATAGGTTATAAGAGAAAACCTAGGTTATAAGAGAGTCCCGTAGCGGCCCGAGTAAAGAGCTCTGATGACAGGGTGAATCGACATAGATGCCTATACATCAAACTAGAGATGCAGCCGGGGGGCTTAAGATATATTAAATTACCATGATTGGGAATTTAGGCATGGTTCAAGCCTGTTGAAGAGGCTGGGGTGTCTGAAAGTGGTGCTATTCATCTCGGGAAAAGAGGGTCAGAAGGTCGGGGAAGTTCACAGGACCTGTTCCTATTCTTATGCTAACTTACAATACAGACTCTAATGCTTACTGGTTTGGAAGATATAAATGATTGGACAATAATCCCGGCGCTCTTGGCTTTGCTGAGCTGCTCTGTTGCTAATTGCTGCTCGTCTGGCTCTTAATGAAAGACTTTCGGTGCTGAGCTTTTTTTCCCCCTCCGTGAATCTTTCAGTATTTTGGGGACCGTATGTTAGAGGAGACCGAGGCGTGTTGCAACACATTTTCTAAGCATGTATAGCTTTCTGTTTTGTGCTATATGTGTCTCGAACTTTGACATCAAATTCCATTATTTGCTGGAAATCTATGAATTAAATTGTATGTTTTATCCAATCGAAAACATGGAGTGTTTCAAAATGTTGTGCATCAATTTACGCCGTAATCAAAATCATTTTTATCGCCACGCATTCTCTCTCTCGCACTCTTTTAAAGCGTATTTTAAATATACAAGAAACATTTACATTTGAAGCAGCAAATAAAATGAGAAACAAAGAGAAAAAACACACAACGCAAATAGCCTAGGCTACATATAAAAAATATGGCTATCAGACAGGTTGTGTGTTGTGTCACAACTGCGATTGTGTGTTATTAAATTAAACGAGTGAACTAGGCTACTGTTTCAGGGTGTATTTCTGTCATGTTAAAACGACGTGATCACAAATCCATAAACTACACTCTAAAAAATGCTGGGTTAAATACAACCCAGTGCTGGGTAAAATAGGGACAAACCCAGCAATTGGGTTGTTTTGACCCAGCGGTTGGGTTACTACCCAGAAGGTTGGGTTAAACATTTAATCAAAGCAGCCCAATTGCTGGGTCTGTCCCTATTTTACCCAGCACTGGGTTGTATTTAACCCAGCATTTTTAGAGTGTATAAACCAGACGAGAATTTGTAGCTTATTTTCTCTCTCTCTCTCTCTCTCTTTTAAAATCTTTTGTTTTACACAAAGCTAACATCTAGGCTCAGATGGGTGGTGCTCATTATTTTAGTCATGCAGCCTAGCTGATTTCTAATCGGTTAAACTTAAAAACCCTCCCCTAATGTAAGTTTCTTTGTTTACTTTAACCATAAATTATAAAAAATAATTTTTCTCCCCTATGTCACGCCTAACGATTCATTTCTCAGTGTTTCTAAATAGGTGAGACCTTTATGCTTCGCTGTGCAATGGTTGGTATTTATCTGCTTATGACAAGCAGAAAATCCGAGCAGGATAAATGGATGAATACAAACGATCATACAGCGCCACGTGACTTAACACCTGCAGTTAGCTCGCGCACTTTGGTGGGTCATTTTTAGCGTTCTAATGCGTTCCGTTTAATACAAAACATGAAGAATGTACATCGGAATTCTAAACTCAGCAGAATAAGAGTGTAGCTACATCAGAATACATACAACGGTGTCATTTGATGTTATGAAATGTCTTTAATTAGTCGATGCTTAAATTTGTTATCCAAGCTTAAACTGAGATGCATTCACCCTGTTTAATCTGGACCAAATAGCTATTTTTATCCAGACATTAAACGAAAAAGAAATGCGTGTTTTGTCATTAAAGCCTAAACAGAAATAAGGCCTAAGCCTCATTTATGTCTAGATGCTTTCAACTACAAAAACTTTTTTTTTTTTTTTTTTTTTTTAAGTGAAATTAAGTCAGAGGAATTAATAGTGGGACACAGAGGAAAATCATGTCATCTCTTTCATCTTAGATCATTCGATTGGCCCTTTGGGAATAACTGGACGAACCACTTGAACCTAGCACATAACCTCTGACCCTTGTGTCAGCTGTGACTGGTCCTCAAGAGACTTCAACTTCAAATATGACACTGAAGGGCATCAGTTAAGTCTCCTGACTGCTGGATTGCAGATTGGTTAATATTTATGTAAAATAGCTAAATCAGTTTGAGAAATTATATAAATATAGTAGGCCTACATTTTGACAAAGGCCTAGCCACAACACATTAAAATGGATTTCACTGTGGTCTAGATGTTTGTGACTTCACTTTTTTTTTCAAATTTAGGTTATTTTAACAATACATCAAGACTAATATGTATGTTGCTTGAGCATGAAGAATATTGGGTTTTTTTGCAGAATAACAAAATCCCCCTCCCCCGCGGGCTCATCATTTGTTTAAGACCTATTCTTGTTATTTAAGAGGCTTGTTTAGAGCAAAGAGCACGTGTCTGGTCAGTTTAGAGTCGGTCTGACCCCTTGGTCCCATGAACAGGTCATTACTCTATTCTATTGCCAGAGGTCAGCTAGAAAAGCTGATTTAAAGATGAGGGGAGAACATGTGTGTACATAACCATATTTGGGGGACAGATTTACCCAGATTTACCCAAAAAGTGAGCTAAGCCTGACAAAATCTCCCAAAACCTTCCTTTGGGGAAGTCCTCATTTGTAAAAATGGCATAAAAATAATTAAGTATCTATAACTATTAGTATATATAGTCTATGCTGCCCCCATTTCGGTACGCAAAGGTGTAGATTTTTATTTATTTTTTATTTTTTTTGCTGACTCCATCATAACATTGATACAATTTATCTATACACAAACATATTTCTAATCCAATTAATGTTTTTATTTTTATTTTTTATAAAAGTTGCTAAAATCTACAACCTAAACTGTGAAATTTAATGACAAGTACACTGCTGTGGTGGGTTAAAACATTAATAGAAAACATGGACATTTTAAACATTTTAATTGTACAAATATAGGGCAATTTAAAGCAAAATACATTTTAAAGCAAATATAATTGATAGCAAATAGGCTACGTTTGGTAACAAACACATAAGCTGTGTGTTGAGTGTGCACTGTTTTTTTCCCCTTAATATTTCTGGGTCCAGTAAGTGCATTGGAAAGTGTTACAGCCCTTTAGATTTGAAGCTTGTATTTCAAATTGAACAAGAGAACCTACTCAAACAGATGATATTAACGATTGAATAATATAACATTCATCCATCAAACTAAATTATAAAGGCGACGGGGAGAACATCTCGATGCTTTTTAAAAAAAATGGTAAATCCTCTATATTTTACACAAAGTCTTACGATTTGTACCTCCACCTCAGTGGAGTGGTGCTCATGTATATGATGCTGATTTCCCCCCTGTAGCTGATTTCTAATTGCAAACTAATGATGTTACAACTTACCCCGTGTTACAGTGCAGTCTCTCCTACAATATTAACTCGACATCCGACGACTAACGAGTCTCTTCTTTCTCCACAGGCTTATCCTGATACGAACGCTATGTTTTTGTTAGATTTAGATTGCTGGAAATCTAATACACAGGTGGGTTATTGCTTACTGTAAATGTTTGTTGAATAGCATTTACGATGGATAGTTACGTTTTTTAATAAAATAAAATAAATGAATTTTGTTCGTCAGTTTGTTTCTTCCCTTCTTTTTTGTTAATTTAATTGATGCAAGTCAATTACACCATAATAAATTATATAAACTGGTGGGAAGGAGTTTCATTATGCAATAAAATGGAGAAAAGTTTCCACATATTTCGTTTTTTCGCATAAAGGCAGGTAGAAAAGTCTCAGCATTATCGGTGGTGAAATAGTTCATGTATACATTAACCAAAGTTTGTGCCCAAACTTATTCAACGTATGCATTTAACGACTGTCTGCAATATATTTTGGTAAGATTATATTGAGAACGTAAACTTTTGAATCTCTTTAAACACTAAAAATGATCTGCTCGTCTTCTGTATGCTCCACAATAACTGAATGAAGCAACAGAATGTGAATTTTATTTAAAAATGTACAGAGAGGTATTTTAAATAGAATATTCAAATTCCGATTAAGTTAAATATTGGTTGAAAGTAATCCAAGTAAAAGCAGGCCTATTTGAACACATATCGCATTTGAGGCTTACAATATATAAACGTTTGATTTGATCATTTATATTCACTGACAAACTCGAGAGTGAAAACTCTTCAGTTGTTTTTGTGATTCTGGAACTGCGCAGGAAAAGCACCCATTAAAATCAAATTTCAATTGAAGATTAAATCTTGTCAGATTTGTCATAGACATCCATCTTAACTTGAGAGGTGTGTGAATCCTTTTTTTATGGCTTAATGTAATTTAACCAGTGTTTTACACCAGGTATATTTCTCATCAGCTGTCAATGTGTTGAATGAGTAATCCAGCTCAGGCATAGAAATTAACTCTCTATTTTGGTTCAAAATAATGTTTTACTTCATATGTTAAATCTTTTGATAATTTTTCAACGTGACAACTTCTCTGTTTTATGTAGCCTATGCTTCAAATATAATCTCAGTAAATGGAAACAATCATTGACATGCAGTGTCTGAGCATTGACAGAATTTTATGAATTTGTTTGATCTCCTTCCCACAGATTAAAAACACAAACATCGCCTTAAGCACACTGCGCTGATTCACACCAGAGCAGCACATATGTTTTATTTTTTATGACTTCTGCATGAATAAGAGAGGTGATTCACTGCTAGTTATTTTCCGCACTTGCTTATTATGTGCTGTCCAAGGTGCTGACAGGAGCACTAGAACTATGAGCTGTCAAGCTGTCTTGAAGTAGGTGGTTACAAAATAGCCTGTGGCCACTACATGTGAAGCTGTGTTGACGTCCACCTCCCATTAAAGTACATTTCTATACAGAGTATAATTTAAAATGGCTTTCAGTGTCAACAATCATTCTGTCAGTGCTTTAATGTTGTTTATTTGTGCAGTTCAATACGTTTTTCACATATCACATAATCAGACAAATGATAATGCAGAGAGAAACTGAGCATAATTCTTAAACCATACATACAGCCATACAAAATATCTGGATTAACCAATTTCCTTCCTGTACATCAACTGAAACAGGCACATTTTATAATATAATAACATGAAACAATGATGACTAACATTAAAAATACTAGTATTTAAAATAGGGATCGCAAATTCCCATGCACTGAAATGTTTCAATAACAACTACTTTCACTGTAAACTTTTCACACATTAAGGCACATTATTCTCTTCAGTTTATACAGCACTGATAAGATTGTAAAACACATTTTCTAACATCTAAGATTTAACTGGGTGAACAGCCCAAATCCACACACCCATCCAGTCTTACTGATTGTCTGCAAGGTTTTAAGATACCCAGTTAAATCAATTAGTGCACATTCTAATTCATCTCTCATCTGCTTGTTAAATTTTCACAGCGAACCATCCGGAAGAGATGCTGCACACTGGATTCCTGAGGTGATGTGATTGACCATTTGACTCAAACATAGCAGGATGGCCTTGGTTTCTCCAGCAGCTGATGACAACGATGGGAATTTTTCAGCGTTTTATTGCCAGGAGCCTGGTTAGAGAGGAAAATAAAAAGATTAATATGACATGGCTTGCTCTTATGACATAAATGTCAAAAAGACAACATACTGGCATCAACAACAATGTGAAGTTAGTGTGTGTAGTGTTATTCAATATAGTGGAAATGAAAAACCATATTAACGTTAACATTAGAAATAGATCCAAAGAACTAGAGTTGCATGGTCACAAGGGATGTCTGTTTTTTTTTCTCTCTGAAGTTGTTTTCTACGTTTCTGAAAGGAAAACAAAAATATTCCAAAACTAATCCAGTGTGCTAAAACTGACATTTGTGATGTCTTGAATGTCTCTCCACTGTCAACTTGAAAATATCTGATTGACTGAAATGCAAATGACAACCCTGCTATCTTCTGTACTCCATTCCTGATCAATCTAGCGATGGGAAAAGTGTTTAGAATTATCGATCAGTGACTGCTACTATGAAAACTGAAACACAATGCAATGCAAACACACCATTGTCAGCAGTATTCTGTTCTTGTATTTCACTCCAAATAATAGGAAGTGGATTTATGGGTTTGCAATACTGCTAATATTCTAAATGTTGTGGATTTTAGAAAGGTTGGAGTCCATTTTGGTGGCGTTTCCAATAGTTTATTTTAATGAGAACAATCAAGCATCTAAATTGCAGTTTGGGGTAATGCTGTGCTGTCCTTTGTGTGTGTTATTCGGCAATTTCACAACATCACAATATTCACTCAGCTTAGTGGTCATTATAGTTTTAAAGAGGGTGACATTTTGAGATAATTTTGAGTATTTATATTGCTCCAAATAATGCAGTCAGTAAAACTAATTTGGCTATCTAGCGAAGGGTAATGCATACAACACAACACTTTTACATGCATTGACCATATTTGTTTACAATCCCTCATTCTTTATTTGCTTCCAAAAGTGGTGCGGATCATTTCTATACCCCGTCACCCTTAGAATTTGTGTACGATGTGTATCAACGCCATTACCAGTTTTCCCAAATTATATATAGAGAGGTTTATGGACAATTTAATCCCTGCAGGAGACTTGGCAAGACCCTTTTCTCTGTCAATTTTCACCCTCTGCTTCATTCAAGCTCCCTCTCTCTTTCTGCGCCTCTACAATGTGTGGTTTCTTTCTGTCTCTTTTTTTTATATTCCCGCATATTTTTTTTTCCTCAAGCTCCCACCGCCTTCCCAAAAACCCTCAGACAGCATGCAGCTTATGCAAATCACTGGCCTTTTATTCTCAATTCTCGTCCTCAGCCTTGAATGAGACCTCAAGAAAACACACACACACACACACACACACGTTCACACCACACTCTACTGTAATGGGAACGGAGCCCACCATGACATTCTAAAGCACTATGCACCACTATGTTGATTGTAGTAGAAACAATCATATTAAGTTACTAATATCGTTGCAACAGTCCACTCATCATGCAAAGAACTACATTCTTAAAAATAAATGTTTCACAAGGGGGTTTTCAAAGCGGTGCCATAGAGGAACCATTTTTGGTTTCCCAAAGAACAGTTCTTAAAAGAGCCATTTTCTACTACAAAGAACCTTTTGTGGAATGGAAATGTTACAGGTTCTTCATGAAACCATCGATGCCAATAAAGAACATTCTTAAAAATAAAGGTCCCAAAATGGGGTTTCTGCAGAGATGCCATAGAACAGTGATCCTCAAATCTGGCTCGCGGGATCCACTTTCCTGCAGAGTTTAGCTCCAACCCTAATCAAACAACTATACCTGTGATTTTCTAATGATCCTGAAGACATTGATTAGCAAACTCAGGTGTGTTTGATTAGGGTTAGAGCTAAACTCTGCAGGAAAGTGGATCTCGCGAGCCAGATTTGAGGATCACTGCCATAGAAGAACCATTTTGTGTTCCTCAAAGAACCTTTCAGTGAGCAGTTCCTAAAAGAACCATTGTTTCTCTATAAAGAACCTTTTGTGTAATTGAAAGGTTCCATGGATGTTAAAGGTTAAAAAAAAGAGAGAAAATGTAACACTGAATTAAATGTGCCATTTTGAAGTAGAAAAACTCCTGTAAAACATATTACAATTATCTTTGTTTGAGGAAAGTGTATTCACACTGTAGAACCAAAGGCCTACAATAATTTTTACCAAGAGCCACAAATATTGTTCCTAGAGGAGTTGCAATGAGGAGGATTATGGGATGGAAGTAGACTAGACGACTAGACATTTTAGGATGGAGGGGGGCTGTTTACCAAATCACTGTTCCCATACTTAATGAGCGGGGGGGGGGGGGGGGGTGATGAATATAAAGTGCTTGCTGCCATTCCCAGGGTCTGGAACACACACACATGCAGGCTGTATATATAAGAGTGTGTGTATACAGAGGGGCGAGCCAACCAGCCTGACTTCCCTCAGACACTTTGACAGGCGGGCCTTTTCACCAGCGCATTGCTGGGCCAGCCAGCTCTCGCTCCCTTAGCAACGGCACAGAGTGGAGGACCCCCTCCAGCCTGCCACCAAAACCACAGGGGTGGGGGGACGGGGCAGATAGGGTGTGGGTTACAAGGGGTGAGCTGGTTCACAGGGGTGGATGAAGAAGTTCCCAGTCTGGCTGGGACTCCCACAGGCAATGAACTTGAACTTGAGTCTGATAGCATTAATGAGGATCACACGTCCTTGTATAATATTTGCATATGGATTGGAGCATGGTTATAGTCATGAACTAAAACCATAAAAAAGATGTTTATTACTTGAAATAATGTAAACATTAACTGAAATGATATTTAAAAAATCCTTAAAAGAAAATAAACATTAACTGAAATAAGTTTAAGTAATGAAAATTTTTTTTTTTTTTAGTTAATCATAACCCGATAATATTAACAATAATAACCATGAAGCAGGGTTATTGTTAATATTATTGGGTTATTATCGAAATAAAATATGATCTTATTTTATTTCAGGTGGTTGCCAAAATTTCTAATTTTCATTTAGTTTAAGCTGAGTTAATAACTAAAAGTAATTTAATGGAAAAATAAAAACTAAAGCTTAAACTATATAGACATAAAATTTGTTTTATAAAAAATTACAAAAACACAACAAAATGACTTAAAACTAACTCAAATTAAAAGAAAAACAGATGTAAAGAAATCTAATTCAAAATATTAACTAAAACTATAATAGTATATTAATAATACTAAAATAACACTCATTGTACCTTTTCCATGAGTTAGTATTTGAAATTAAGGGATAGTTCACTCATCAAGTAAAATTCTGTAATCATTTAGTCATCCAATAGTCACCAAAAACATTAAAGGTGTCATATGATGCGATTTCAAGTTTTCCTTTCTCTTTGGAGTGTTACAAGCTGTTCGTGAATAGATAAGATCCCTAAAGTTGCAGAGACTTAAGTCTCAAACCCAAAGAGATATTCTTTATAAAAGTTAAGAGTCAACCACGCCTCCCTAAAACGGCTCGTTCTAACACGCCCCCACATGTCTACGTCACGATGTGGGAAGATTTGCATAACGCCGCCCAAATGCTCACGCAAAGAAAGAAGGCGTAACTTTGATTCTCGCTGTAGTATTGTTGCTGCCGCCGTGTCGTGGAGATGCTGTACGCTTCATTGCGAAAGCTAAACTACTTTGTTGGTCTTCCAAAAGAGGACACGACTAGAAATCAGTGGTTGAGTTGTATTTGCAACACTGTTCCAGAACAGTTCAACCCAAATATTCAGATGTGAGCATCGCATTTTACAGAGGACGAGGACTGTTTCCTGGGAGAGTAGCGCGGCGCGGTGCAATGCAACACGTAAAAAGACAATATAAGTCATTATAATCAGTAATTATGTCCCCACTGGATGCAACAAATGCCTCGTTTATAATGGGTTTTAATGTTTTTGTCTCGTCGCTCCGGCCGGACACGGCATCACAGTATGGTAAGGGGCGTAACATTTCCGTCACATGCTTGAAGTATTCGGCCAATCACAATGCACTGGATAGCTGGCCAATCAGAGCACACCTCGCGTTTCAGACCGATGAGCTTTGTAAAAATCGATGTGTTTCAGAAAGGCGGGGCATAGAGGAGAAACAGTAATGTACAGTATGTGGAAAATAATGTGTTTTTTTAACCTTAAACCGCATAAACACATTTCATTACACCAAATACACAAAATAATGTCCTAAGGGGACCAATGCTGGATCACAACATTTTTGTAAGTAAACAATGTCAGACTTTTCAAAGCAAACCTTACAAAAAACTATGATGTTTCAACAATATATATATATATATATATATATATATTCTCTTCTATTTACATTTTAAAAGTGATTGTAATTCTCCTCATTAGGATGCAAAGTGGGCAAAAAGGTAAGCTATAAAGTGAGGATAATTATATCTCAAGGTCTTTTATAATGGTGAGACCATGATGGAGGTTTAAGTGGTCCCTGGTCTCCACTCTCCTGTTCTTGAATTCCTAGTACTGCCCTCTGCACTCGCATCCTCCAGGATACAGTTACTGATGTTCCTGTGAGAGCTTTAAGGATTTGCAGAGAAGTCCCATCTTCTCTTTTATTTTATTGCTTTATTACAAATTACATTGGCAGAACTTTTCAACGCAACTCTTTGTCAGGTCACTCCAACCTCATCTTTAGCACTCTGCATTATCAACAAAAGAAAAGTCTTTGAAAGAACTGGTTTCCAAAGTGACATTTTTTCAAGGTTATCCCCTTAATACAATACATAAATTATGAGTTTAATTGCATAGACCTGAATAATAGGAACAAAAAATGCATTTGTCATAGAAACTGATTTGAAGTCACATAGGGGTACTTTTTATATGCTTAGATTTAGTCTAAAAGCCCACTTAAAGACATAGTTCAGCCAAAAATGAAATTTCTGTCATTTACTCACCCTCATGTTATTCCAACCCTGTATGAACATACAGTGGGTACGGAAAGTATTCAGACCCCCTTAAATTTTTCACTCTTTGTTATATTGCAGCCATTTGCTAAAATCATTTAAGT